ACCCTCCAACTTATTTTTTTTTTTAGCAGTTTAGTGAACAAATGTCTGTCATGTTTAATCCATAATTCAAATTCAAATTAGTCTGAAAAGTTACTTCAGAATTGCCCCATATGAATCAGAGATGGTAATAGAAAGACTCACATTACCATGTTGATTTTTATAGTGTTTGTAGCATTTCAACTTCTGGAGTCTAGAAACAAAATTACTGCTTTTATTTTTATCTTAAAGTGAAACTTGTAAGTAGCATGTAATTAGGACACTTTTGGATTTGTTGAAAGCATTTTTGACATTTGTATAAAATAATTTGTGATAAAGTTAATATATCCAGATGCTCACCAAAGAAACATGTATGTAAACAACTAAAATTAGATTTTATAACTGATCAGAATTTTCTCTCATTTATAATCGGTAGGAAAGACTGTCTAGATGTTGGGGCAGTTCTGTGATTTGAGTCTGTAACATGTAATAACTGAATTCAGTACCCAAGTTTTATGTCACTAGTATTTTCTTGATAAAAGTTATTCCCCCTGCCTCCTCAATGTACCTGTATTTCTCTTAATGACTTCTGGGATCCCGAGCTCTCTGTGCAGTCTGAAGAAGGTATTACAGTCACAGCCATGTACTGATTGATGATAAAAGCCTCTGGTAGCAATAAAAAGTTGTCCTTAATGTTTGTATCTGACTTTTTTTGCTTATGAAAAGGTGCAGGATCTTGATCGCTGCTTAAAAACCAAATAACCAAACCCGTTGCCGTCAAGTCAATTCCAACTCATAGTGACCCTATAGGACAGAGTAGAACTGCTCCATAGGGTTTCCAAGGACCGCCTGGTGGATTTGAACTGCTGATATTTTGGTTATCAGTCTTAACTACTGTGCTAGGCACTATTTCAATGAAGGAAAACTATAAAAATCCTAAGAATATGCTTATCGAAAGTAAAACAGGAAGAAAAGAGGATTTGAATATGACTGAGGGATATATAGGTTTTAGACATAAGGAAGAATTTTTCCTTTTTGATATTTTCTTGGTGGTGGACTGTGGGCCTTCTAAACAGTAAATTCTCATCTTAATGGAACTGTTTGTAAGGGCAGGCACAGACCCGTATCTAGATAAGGTCATTGTTAGCCTGGTAATTTTATTCAAATTTAGCAAAGCAAGCATATTCTCAGGTCATCATCTGACTTTGAAATTTTGCTAGTAGGATTAGCTGCCTTATGGCCTCACAGTCCTATCTTAAGGAGAAGCATTTACTCGTGTAAGTACAGGGGAGTGGGAGGGAAAATAAAGAATGAAGGAACTGTTTTTGTGTGAACATAGCAAGGGGTTGGCTTCAAAATTTTACATATGCATACATACAGCTATCCAAGGCACAAGAGTTGGTTTCTATTCACCTGGAGCAACATAGAAGAGTCAGGAATAGGGGGAGGATATGGAATGTGTGGCTAATTGCCTTCATGAACAACTCCCTCTTTTGCCATGAGACCAGAACTGGATGATGTCCAGTTACCATTCCTGAACATTTAGGTCAAAGATTCTACAGAACAATCTCGATCAAAAGGAGGAAAATGCAGAACAGAGTATCAAATTTTCATGGACTCCAGACTTTCTGGAGCCATAGAGGCTGGATGAACCCCCAAAACTATTGCCCTGAGATAATCTTTAAACCTTAAACCAAAAATTATCCCCTGAAGTCTTAAAACCAAACGATTGTTTAGCTTAACCAGTGAAGAGTATCTCTTGAGCATTGTGCTCTTTATATGTGATCAAATTGACAACAGTAACTCAATAGATAGGAATCTTAGAGGGCAGTGAATTTAATGGAGGAGGAAGAACTCAGGGAAGGTGAGAATGGTTGCTAAACTTGAAGAATGTCATCAGTGTCACTAAATGGTACATGTGGAAACTTGAATTGGCGTATGTTTTGCTGTGTATATTCTCAGCAAAAAAGATAGACAAAAAAAATCCTATTCATAATCTTCATATGATTCTGTTTCCTAATTCTTAATTGTGGGAGGTCTAAGAAATTTACAACTGTGTTGTAAATTAAATGACACTTATTCTTCCCTCCGCCCCTTAACAGATGAGGACGTAGGATTTTGTTATGTAGAAAGCTAGTAATAAAATTGAGTCTAGGATCAGAATATTTCCTTCATAGTCCAGTAGCTACAGATTGAACAAAAGTTAAGAGAACAATAGGATTTTTATTGCATGACCTCGAGGTTTTCTAATCTTATCAAAAATTGATGGTAAATCAGTTTGGAATAGAATATTGTTTTCAAGGGAAACTAAATTTAGTGGGATGGTTGGGTTCTCAGCTTTCATGCTTCAAAAGCTAATTTAACCTATAGTTCAATTAAATGACAGTATTTTGGGGACCTGACCTTCCTGAGTACTGTTTCAGGATCCTGCGAAGGTCCTAGAGACCTTCACAACCTACCGTGGGACTATTTGGGGGAACTTTGGTTCCAAGGGGCTTGGACTTAAATGGAGAGAGAAAATGCACAATATTCTTTGAACATTGTGGAACTTTTCATTAAGAGTGTTCCTGCTGTTAAATTAGATCTTGAAACTGTCCTCATTTAGCCCAAGTTACTTCTGTTAAATCTTGTCATCACGTCAAACTGTTCTTTCAAGATTTGGAAACTTGGGCTTAATGGGTCATAATTGTCTGGTGCCTCCTGGTGGTTAAAAAAGCTACCATTCCATGAAGCTTCTGGAAAGGTGAGGGAGTAAACTTGATAGGTATAAATGATCTATTGTCTAATCCTCTGTTCAACAGAAAAAAGAGCATGTTCTAGTCCTTGAAGATCAGGTAGACCAATAAAATGCGTCTGACAGTGACTCTACAGGACAGAGTAGAAGTGCCCCATAGGGTTTCTAGGAGTGGCTGGTGGATTTGAACTACCAACATTTTGGGTAACAGCCAAACGCTTAACCACTGAGCCACCGGGGCCCCCATTTTTTTCCTCTCTGCTAGTTTGGTATGAGGTTGGTTATTTGGAAAACTAAATGTTTTTCTCTACAGACATGGGGTGTGTGTGTTTGTAAGGGGGGTAGTACTAACAAATGCCAATGAAAAGGTCAGATATAACTGATTTGTCAAATGTTCCTGACTCTGCCTCTGGCTTTGAACATAGAGGGTGGCTCTTCGTTCAGCCAAGGTGCTGAGAAACTGAGCCTACATTCCCACTGTTGAAGGGAATTAGACAATGGTGTCTGCCCCCAAGAAGTACTGTGTCTTTTTCTCCTATATTGAAGAACCAGCCACTTCCATGTGTCCTCTGTTCTTTACATACCTGGGTTTTTAAGCTTTTTAATTCATTCATTCTGGAGTTCCTTAAGAAGGTAAGTTGTGCATTAGCCTTACTGCCCAAAGCAGCACAGTGGCCCTTTCCTTGACAAAATGTGGTTAAGCCACTGATGGTCAGCCAAAACAGGCATGGGCAGGGGCTAAGGATGGGGGAGTATATGTTCAGCCTAAAGTAGTTCATATATCTTCAACTGGAAAAGGAAAGATACTCTGCCGAATGTTCTCACAACCATCCTGGGAGATAAGCACCCCAAGTTTGCATTAGCAAATTGAAGGTTAGAGAGTTGTCTAATGCTACATAGCTAAGAATTTTTAAGAATTCAACTTCTCATTTCAAGCTTTTACTCTTCCTACTTGATACCTGTTATAAACTGTCATGAGGTTTTGTCTAAATGTTACTTTAAAGCCTCCAAAAAAGTCTTGAAATTAGCCTTTATACTGTGATAATTGGATGATGTCTCCTATGCTGGAGATACTAAATAATGCTTTGAGCTTTGGCCACTAGATGGTGCTTCTAGGAAAAAAATAAAGCAAGCTTTTTAATTCTGGGAGAAACTGAGTTTTTGGGCTTATTGTATGGTAATAAGCAATTGAACACTCATGTCTTACTGCTAAGCCAAAATCAACATCACTTACAATTAAAAGTTTGTATCACTTAAGGCACAAGGAGGCCTCTGCATGTGAGGCTGATCTTTAGTAAAATCAGCCATGGCAAGGGACAGTTGTTCAAGTCTCAACACAAAAAACCAGTTTTACAAATTAAAAACCCAAATTTTTATATATTATGTAAGTTGTACCAGTCCTGAAAAGCTACCTAGGGGCCTAAAGACCCAAAACCTTCCTGCTTTCAGTTTGAGTTGGATTTGACCAATCATTACAGCAGAAAAGATGAAGTACAAACTTAGTAGCACGTGTTAAAGAAATTAAAACAAAAGCTTACCCTTACAACATTTATCAATTTAATGGGTTTTATGATGTAATATATAAGACCTATGTGTAGGACAGAGCTATAATTCCCCTTTGAGCCATGTCTTGATTACTTGTAAAAGTGTAATAAGAGGTAACAAGAATCTTTCCTTACACTTTACCTTAAATCAGGTATAAAATTTTAGAAGCTCACAACTCAAGCTGTTTAGTTCCCAGGAGCTTCAGAGTTAAGGATGAAATGAGGGGAACCTCTCTCTCTCGACTCTTAAATATAAGCTTCATAGTAGAATGAATGCCAGATTGTTAAACAACAATGTGGCAGGTGGAAATGCATTTTGAATAACCCTGGATCCAGTGAACTGGTTTCTCTTTCCTGAGAAACAGCTTGCTTTGTTAGGCAGGAGGACACTCCAGAAGGAAGGGTAACTTTAGACAGGCAATTGCTTAAAGGCAACTGGTGAGGGGAGGGGACCCTTTTGCTTTTCAGAATATGATCCATCTTTAGCAGGCAATTTAGCACAGAGAGGGCTTACCTTTGCCCTTACTCCAAAAATTTGCTGTGCTCATGAGGTATACAGAGGGACAAGCGTGATTCATAGTACGAGGCTACATCCCACGCACCTAATATAAGGCCTGGTGCAGAATACAGAAAGTACTTGCAAGGAGACAGGGAAGGGGGTGAAGGTGAACGGATGGATGTGAATAAAGGGCAAGAGCTAGAACTGCAGCTCTTCAGAGTCCTAAAAGCATGTGTACAGAATGCCTGGGTAAGCCCAGCTTTGTAGAATGCCCCCCCCAATTTAATTTGTTCTTTTGGTGGGACAGAGACTAACCTCATTAAAATAGCTTCTGCCTCCCCTGATCTAAGTGCTGTAACTTTAAGAAAGGTTCCATAGTAGACTGACAGTCAAAAGATTTATATACAGCTACTAGTCAGAAATCCGGAGGTAGGAAAGGGAGGTGAGTGGATACTAGACTCACAATTACCACATTTTCCATCCACTCACCAGCCCTGGGTATGCCATTTGCTTGCTAGAAATTGAGTTGAAAGCCAGACTGTCAACCCCAAGGACCATATACTATGGTCTTAAGTATTCAAGCACAAGGAGCCTGGAAATGAGCCCATTGCCATCACTGTCAGCCTCCAGAAAGACAGTCATCTGTGAAGCAAAAGGTTTTATGTAAAACATCATTTAAATATAGTGAAATTATGTACTTTTTCAGATATCCAAGAACTGCTTACGCATAATCCGGGCCAATGATAGGCAGAAACGATACATTCAAGATAAGGGAGAAGGAAGTTTCATTTGACAGGTACACTTGATGGCAAAAACAGTTTGGTCAAATATACTGGGAAGACAACCTGTTTTCATCTGCTCCATTTCAGTGCATACTGATTCGGGTCACATCCCTCCTTTATATTGTCCTGTGCCAATCTCAAGCAGACCAACTAGACTACACTTGTAGCAAGAAGTCTGAATCTGCACTGAAATCAAGTGTTGTTTTTTTAAAGAAGACTGAAAAATAAAAAAACCTGTTACCAATGGAATCTGTTCAGATGGCTCAATTCTCCTTGCTTTTCTTTTCCACAATCTATGGGATAAGCAAATAATTTTAATCATTGATGATAATTATCCCTGGGATAGTTGCTCAGCCAGAACTTGAAAACCTACCAGCTTTATCAACACTGAGAAAGGAATCACCTGAGGTAAAATGCCAAATCAATGGTAATCTATCTTAGGAGAGATGGCAATGCACTTGGCCAGTGGTGTCCATGACCAGCTTCCCCTAGGTTACAGAACAGTCCTGACTGCTTAGTATACCTTCTGTCCACATCCCCTTCTCATCAAGATGACTATTAAACTTCCTCTAACCTGGTGACTTAAAACAAATGTAGTAGCAACTAGATTACACATTTCTCTACTTTAAAAACATAAAATTGCCTAATTTGATTTTTAAATACTGCTTAGAAAATATCTTTACAACTTGATGTAGAATTTTTTGTTTTTAAAATGTATGACAGGGTAGTTAAAGCTGATATTAAAATATGAAAAGGAGTTTAATAAAGCCAATTGTCATTGATTACAGTGGTTTCACTCGCAATAGGATCTACATGTTCAACTTACACAGCTGATACACATCATCCTTTGGATTCAGTTGAGGAGTTGGTATCCTCTCTGCCCCACTGGTTACATCACTAGCCAATTTCTATTCTTACAGATTACACTGTAGTATGAAAGGGATGGCTCTTGGCCCTGATGTTTTGATCAATTAATGGCTCAGATGAATCTGACCTTACTTACATTTAATATTAGGTTCTGAGTAAACAAAGCTTCTTGCCAGCATGCTCATCCAATTCCTCTGCCCAACCTCTTTCCAGGAATCAAATGATTCAAGAGGCAGGGAGTGTTGCTTCATTATTTCACGATCCAATGGAAGCATGTTACCACTTACATACAGGGAAACATTCCTAAGAATCTTGACCAAACGCAACTCATGCCACCAATAGCCTTTTCATGATCTACCTACTATAGAGCTGGAAAATGAAGATGGAAACCAGCAAGGATTATAGACAAGTAATGAAATTAAAGGGTAACTTAAAATGCACATGCATGCTCTAAAATAGGAATTTGAAAATTGGCCCTTGACTGTGAAAACTGCCCCTAAAAGGTAGCTGCTAAGAAAGTAATCTAGCTCTAAATCTGACCCATTGCAAATGGATGTCCATTAGAAATCAGACTCACTCAACTGGCAGAAGCATATGGGTGTGTTATGTGTGTGTATTTTAAGTGGTCCATCATATACTTTGATTTCTAGCAGAGTTTTTTTTTTTCTTCCAGAAATCTTGAAGAAGCAGCCTGGCTAACTCTGAGAAGACAGTGTCGGTCAGAAACAATCAATAATCCTGTTGTCTCAGAGAGAATATATACTTGTTCAGGGTTCATTTCCTATGGTCCAGGACACATAGGTCCTGGGTGAAAAATGACACAATCTAAAGAAGAGCTTCACAATGAATACACAGGCAGGGCATGGGCCAGAAAGTTATTTTAAGGTATCTTTAAATATAAATTGAGCCCCAGAGGCAAAAAAAAAAAAAATTCATCTCCCAAAACTGGCACAGTTTAAACAAGATTCAGACTTGTAGGTGAAAACCCTAGTGACAACAAAGGGATTTTTTGTATCTGAGATGAGGAGAGCATCTTAAACAGAAGTTCGTCACTTAGTGTTCATGTAAATATCCCCCTGAAATGAGTTTAAAACTGGCAGAATTGTAACACCAAAACTAAGTTTGAATAACCAATACATAAAACAGAACTGTCTAACTGGAATTTTTTTTTTTCCAAAACAGAATCCCAAACCCAAAACAACATATATAAGGATGCAGGTAACAGAAAAAGAGTCAAATAAAACAACAATGGTTCCTGAATTTAAAGGAAGGATGCCCACTTCTCTCTCTCTCAAGAGGCAGATGGTCAGCTGAAAAATAAAAACATTGTATCAATAGAACACTCCAAATAAAAAAAAAATTGTAGTCATCTCTGTTCATGCAATATCAAATGTTTTAAAACAAAAACAAAACCACCCCAAAAACTAACAAAAGGAAAATGTTGCCCAGATCTTATGACCTGATGGTTGAGGATCCTGATCAGGCTGTTCAGAAAGTTGCTCATGGGCAGAGAGGTCTGGAGTTAGCATTAGATCAAGTTTATAGGCCCTGGAAGGGGTGGCCACCTCATGTTAGGGTGCATGCTGTCTTCGGTCCATGAGTTCCTGGATCAGCAGCTTATCAACAGATCTCAGCACATGGCCTACCTTGGGTCTTGGCCCAAGTTCTTTGCTTCACTCAATTTCCTTTTTCCTTTTAATTAATGTTATTAAATATTACTATTTTTGGTAGTGATAAGTCACTTCAGTATCCACTGTGGGCAGTGGTTTGTAAACAGACATCGACAAATACAAACAGCAGTGCAATATTTGACCCAGACTTTAAAAGAATAGGAGGCGATGGTGGAAATGAGGTAACTCTTCCCCAACACGTGTCAACAGACAGCTCCTGCTCTTCTAATGCTTTATGTCCATTAGGAGAGAGTAGGGCTTGTCAACAGGACGGTTACATAAAGAAGAAGCTACAGAAGAGAAAAAAGAAAGGTTCAGATTCAAATTTGATTCTTGAAGCCTTAAAAAAAAAAAGAAGGAGCTCCTCTACAGTAAGCTGTGACAGAACAGCAGCATGTCAGTTACAGGGGTGACTTCACCGAGCAGGGCTGGAGGGTGAGCAGCAGCTGCGTTAGCCCCAGAGGCCAGGGAAGAGGAGGATGCTTCAGCTGAGCCAGGGCAGTGGGGCACCAGGGGATGCTAATTAGAGGGGCAGAAGGGGATGGGAATAGGGGAGAAAGGGTAGCAGAAATGATATGTAAAGCACAGAACACCATAATAGCAAATATTTTGGAGAATTTGGTGCTGCCTAGATGGTAGGGTTAGAAGTCCTCCAGATGAGACAGGCAAGCATGAGACTCTTTCATCCCTGTTTCTCTTATCCAATGTAACGAGCATGTATACATATGCATATCAAGCAACGACTAAAAAGAACTCACAAAAGGGCACACAAAACAATGTTTGGGTAAAAATATATTTTCCCCCACTTTATGTCTTGGCACTATTGATATATGCATAGATTACCTGTCCATCACTCTCCTATCTTAACAGACACCAAATTACCGAACTTGTTTGCTAAGTGATTACTTTCATACTTGAAAAAAATGATATGCTTCACATCGATACAATTATTTTAGTTTTTTAAAAAAAGACAAGCGCCTAACATGCAGCTTACATACATAACAATTCTGCATTAACACTGAAAGTAGATTACACAACAGTTTTAGAAAACACATTGGTTATTTCCAAACAACAAAATGACAATGATCTACAACTACAGTTTAAGGCATATCAGCATATTTTAAAGTTAAGAAATGGACAAAGTTCTAATGCTGTTCACAGCTTAACGTTCAACTTATTTTCAAAATTCCCTTCATACCTACATACAATCTAGACTCTGTAGGTCATAATTTCCACTAAAGAGGCATCACGTATGTGTCCAGTCAATGGAACCAGCACTTTTGGAAGCTGAGACTTGATGATTTCAGACACTTGCAAATGGCAAAGCAAAGGGATCTAAACGGACAGTTTTGGTTGGACCACACAGAGACAGTATGATGTGACTTGGTAACAGCTGAAAAACCTGATTCAACAGTTGTATTTGGAACACTTACAGATATGGCAAGAAAGTGAGGAAACCAACTTTACTTGTATGAGGTGCACAAGATACGGAGAATAAGTGTTATTGCTGGTGAGGTTACAAAGCAGAGAAGGAAAACAATAAGTAACCTGTGCCCAGTGTTACAGTAGATGATTCCCCCGGTTATGATGCCCTTTCTGGACCAAACCCTGGCCAACTAATAAAGATCCTGGGCTGGGAAAACCTACTCTCTGAACTGCCAGTAAATTCTCATAAATGCTTTTCCATCACACCTTACAGTGCATACAACTGTCATGGGTAGCTAGACTAAAGTCCAGAAGAAGCAAAAAGATGGTCAGTATGGTTGAAGAAAAGGTAGGGGAAGAGGCCAGCTAGAGCTGTCTGGCAAAAAAAAAAAAGAGGTGACCACTGTCAGCAGTTAGCACAAGGAAGAGATCATTAAGATCACCAAAAAATTAAACAGTCCAAATAGCAGCCTTGCATAAAAAAAAAATTTTCCTCTTGATTTTCTCCAGTGGTAAATAGTAGTTTCTCATTCTAGCTTTATTTACATTGTCAAAACCATGGACATTACCAAGGTTGACCCTCTGTAAGGTCCAATGATATCCATGATACTGGCATTAGTAATTTCTAACTCCCACACTGATATCAAGGGAAAGATGAATTTATGTGGTTCTTGTGAAAATGATATAAATGTGGCCATTTTAAATATATTTAGTTTAGTTTTGTTTTTTTAAAACAAAGGCTGCCCAAACCATTGCCTCCCTAAAACCCTGCAAAAGAAAAAATAAAAAATCCATCCATCCCATGGTTGTTCTAATTTTTAAAGTCAGAAAGATCTCAAAGGTTTCTTACTACCGTACTTACATGCAGAGGCGAAAGCACATCCAATTAGATTTGAGGGTATCATTTATTCCGTGCAGAGCCAAGGACTACTGTGAAAAAAGGCATAGATACAGAAAGAAAAAGAGCAGCAATAACAAACTAAATAGGACTGGGGAGGAGTAGTAGAAAAAAGTTTAGAAGCAATACATTAAAAAAAGAAAAAGCTTCTACATCTTTCTTTTGGCTTTTTATTCCCTGACTCTCCATATGATTTATTCTGTCATAAAAATTTAATGCAAAAAAAAAAACCAAACCCCAATCCAATCAATCAATAATCCTGGAATCAAAAAGTCAGCTGGATGCCTTTCACTACTAGGCTCATTTTAAAAAGGCTTTAGTGATGCAACAAACAGAATTTAAGTGTTATTTACTGTTGCAAGGCACAAAAATGCTCACACAAGCAGTGGCTGGAACAAGCATACAACACAAGTATTCAAGCTTTTGCCTGGTGCACAGCATATGAGCAAACTCAGCCCATGGTTAGAATCAGCATGCCATCTAATATTTGGCCACTCCATAGCCAGCTTCAGACTAGAATCATAAAACAAACAAAAAAGTAAACTTGGCCCAGCAGCTCCCAAAATCTGTCTTTATACCACTACTGCTGCTGCTTCTGGTTTGCAGCTTCTATTCCAGTTTAGTTTAGGCTTCAATGAAAATGATTTCCTTACTTTGCCTTATTAAGCCTAAATCCATTTATAACGGTATGGTTGAGGACGAAGAGAAATTAAAAAAAGAAAAAAAATTAGTTGGAATTCACTAGAAACTTATTCATTTAAAAAAAAAAAGTGCGAGCATGGTGGGTGGAGGAGGTGGGGGAACAGGTGAATTCTCTTATTTATTTGATGTTTGACTAGTGAAGGCCAGAAGAAAAATGCAGAGGTGAATTATCAGGCTCAGAAGAAATGTTATCCTTTCAAGAAACAGGAGATGGCAGAGTTAGAGGGAAAGCTAGGAGGATCTTGTTAGCAGAGAAAGAAAATCAAGAAGATGAAAGGACAAGCATCAGAAAGGAATGGTACAGAAAAGGGATTAAAGAAATACACCCTTTTCCCTACAAATCAGGTGTGTAGTATACATCATGGTGTATGGGTCAGCCCTAATCCTCGTTGATGAGGCTCTGATGCTTCATCTCAATTGGCCTTGGACACAAAGAACAGGTGGGACTAGCTGTGGTGAAGGGAAAGGTGAAGAAAATTCCCTCAGGACAACTGGGTTTGAAAAACTTAGCTGTTCTATTTCTTCTTCCCTTTACTGCCAAATATTGAAAGGGGACTAAGCAAGGCAGCTGGACGTGAAGCTGAATTTCTACTTTGGCTCATGGGTTTGTCCTGTGTTTTTCCCATTTTACCTTCAATGACAAAGTCCTCTCAAAGGTGTGCTTGAATTTCCCATGTGAAGAATTTCTGGAAATTTTTTTCCTTGTGCTTAGGGGAAATTTTATTAGAAGCTGTGCTGATATCTTGAAATCAGTCACAAGGGTCCTCTCCCCTCAACCCACTGAGAGCAAATTCAGGTATGTTGATGAAAGATTTCTTGTCTTAAGTAGTAAGTAGGTTGTGGAAAACCCATTATCCTTAATAGGAAGTTCTTGTACTAAGCAATGTTGTACGAGATCTCTGTGAAAGGATCAAGGCTGCACTAGTTAAAGTGAGCATGATCATAATTTTTTTAGGACAGTCGTCTCCAGCTTGGCAAGAATTTGAGATAGGGGTTCAGCCAAAGTTAAAACCATAAGAGAAGATGGTCAGTCTGAACAGACCTATAAGCCCAGGTCAAATAATGTTATCAATTAAAGTGAAAACAATTCATGAAAATGTAAACATCACAGAATGCTTACCCACTGTTCTGCCTACATACGAATCTACCGTGATTTGGGGCAGGTGTGGAGAAGTGACAGCGTAAGTTCAGGGTTTTTGCAATCATGGAGATGAATGATCGCGAAAATGCAAGTTGTGGCTAGTGAGGTTTTTAGTTCAGCTGCTGAAGTGGCGAGTTTTCATGTCAGACGTACATGTAGCATCTTACCCTCCCTTCCTCAGTCCAAAGCAACATACAAGTGACAGGCATGCTTACTGCTGCCATTCTGAACAAGCATAAAAAGGCAAATCATTTACTTTCCAGAAACAAAGTCCAGCTGCACACAGCCTTTGCTGTCACTCCCTCGTGCTACCATTTTCCGTCACCCAACAACATTTAGCACAATGAGTTAATTGCTATTGGCATTTGGGGAAGAGTAAAAAAAAAAAATAATAATAATAATAATAATAATATATATAGTAAAATAAAAGGACACAGATGGCAGAGACACAATATTACTGCAAAAGCAGGTGAATGCGGGAACATCCTTGGCTTGCCAGGCTTTATGTGAAGCTTGCACTGCAAGTTAAAAAACAAAACAAAAGTTAGAAACAATAATAAATAAAAAGAAAGGAAAATTAGGAGCGCCAGCACCGGCATCCGGTGATGGTGAATGCTCATGCAATGATTATGGAATTGACAGAAATTAAAACTGTAACAATTTTGAGTAGGCTATTCTACATGACAAGCAAAAGCAAAATTTTAACACTGAATTAAAGGACACATGGTTAGTTTTCATTTGCACATAGTGACTTCTTGAAACCACTGCATGTTCTAGTGGAAGGCTTTACTGTTTGCATTTTATTTTCTCAACACTAAACCATTGTTTATTAGGTTTGGATATCATCAGTACTTAATAGGACCTTCATCTTCCACTTATGAGCTGCTGAAGGAGTCAGAGAATAAATATACAGTAAAACCTGTGACAGCTGGAACCTGTGTAAGGTGACAACCTGTCAAAGAAGGAAAACGCAAATATTTTCCACTAACAGAGAACTATAGAAAAGTGGGAAGATGGCACTTTGTCAAAGGCAGAAAACTTGCGAGACCCTAAAAAAAAGGCTGTCCTGCCGAGTTCCAGCTCTCACAGCTTTCATTGTATAATAAATGTCTTTGTACAATTAACTTGGAGAAAAGGTCTAAAGTAGCTTGGAGATTGGAATATAGTGGATGGAAAACATGCCATTTAATCTACTTGGGAAGGAAAAAAAAGACGATCATTATATGGTTACAGCTACAGCAATGCCAGGAGCTTCCCCCTCATTTAGGTACGAAGCAATGCCAAACCCAAGGTCCACTGTGCGGTTGGTTCCAATTTTAGGCAAGTACAAAACATGCAACTTCATTCCTTAGCAGGAATCAAAATTAATTTTTTTAAAAAGAAGAGTGGATGGTGGTGTAGACTGCCGTTATTGGATGTCAGATACCGTTCTACAATGATGTATTTTAAAACTTTCTTTTGCATAGATGCACCTTAACCAGCGAATGCCTGCTGGCAATTGTGTGGAAAGTTTTCGGAAAAGATGAACACTGTCTGTTGAACAACTTACCCTCGGGCAGTCCCACCACTGTGGTTTAGCCGCAAACAAGGAAAGTGAGTTGGTGGCCAGAGATGGCAGGAGGTAGGGGTCCAGCTAATGGCAGTGCCAGGATTAGTTCTACTTTGTCTGTAATCTTAGGAAATGTTATATGCTCTCATGCCACTACAGGTCAAGGAGAAGGATAAAGCCTTACCTACGTTAAAAAGGGAGCATTTCATTAGAACAGAGAAAACAGAATTTAAAACTATTAGAATAACTAAGTTAAGTTCTGAGGGGGAAGCATAGCAGGTAAATAAATAAGCATCTCTTTCTCTTTTTTTTCTTTTCTACTTAGAACAAAACCACTTCCTAAGTGGCACAGGTGTGACTCCCGTATTTCCTCCAGCTCAGCTAAGAGGACAGTCTTCCTGTTTAGTTACCCTGGTTACTGTCTTTCTGTGGTCCTCTCTAACCAAAACTCTCCAACTGGCCCTGGCAGGAAGAGGTGTGATTTTTATTTTACTTTTACACTTCAGGCCTCCAACTGACAGTTGCTTTCACTGTACAAATGGAAAAGTGGGAAAAGGTAAGAACCTAGAAGAAATTACATTAAAAAAATACATGCCATTGTCAGGTGCAAAGCCTGCTGCCTGTTTTGAACCAAATTAAGTTTAACTACATTAATTATAAATGAGAATACACAAATAAGGCTAAAATAGAATTTACACATATGTCATGTAAACTTTAAAAGTAAGGTAAGGCCCAAGGATGGGAAGAAAATAATCTAAATGTTCAAAAGGGCAAGGAGAAGTTTCCCTACACTGGAAAGTTTACTACTTTCTTTTTTTTTTCTCCTAATGGAGGCACAATACTGATGAGCTCTTAGAATTTTTATTGCTTAAAGGCACATCCAGTATATATGAAATAGTCTTTTAACACTGTCGGTCTTTTATAAACATTGTAAATCTTAAAACGTGTACATTTACACACTTTAGTGCTTCAGAGCAATAAAAACTTGACTGGGTTTCCTAAGCTGTGAGTCAGCAGCTTTTTCTCTATTTCACTCATACATGCCTATAGATGTGTGTGCGTGCACGTGTGCGCATGCACACACACACACACACACACACTTATCTGCAAACACACCCATTTTTATCTTGGGTTAGTTTGGATCAACAACAGTACAATGCCAAGGGGTAGTTTCTACAAATGGACTTTCATTTTGTCCTCACTGTAATCTCTAAACCTCTGCTTACAGAATACCACCTGTAGTGTCCAACACCCTCTAAACATGCGTAGCTACGGAGTGCTTTCCTGAACTGGATTATAGTCTAGCCAGCTGCTGCTCTGAGAATTAACCCAGCAGAATTAATTTTCGGACCCTTGAACTCCTTTGGTCACTTGTGTCTGTATCCCCATTATAATCACACCTCACCTACACCAACTACTTCCATTACTGCTTAGAAAATCTGCCTGCTCCCTCGCTCTCTTGACACACTCTCTGCTGTCTCAGAGCTTGGAAAGCCAAAGTTTGTAAAGCATGAGTTAAAGCTCTCTTAGCGTGTCACTGTAGCAGTACATTTTGATTTTTACCACAAGAAACTTAATGAGATTCCTTAGGGGTGTACCTACTTACTGCACGGTAACCAAGACTAAGTGAGCAGCACTTTTTCCTACGAAAGGTCTCAGTTACTGTATAGAGACTCAACCCTATGTATTCTATTTTTTAAGAATATAATTCTTTGCCTGCTTGAGTACCACCATTTTTGGTGTTTACTTAGTTGCCAGCTGTTTCTCTAGGGCTTTAGTATCTAAGGATGAAGAGCAAGGATCCTGAAATGAGTTTTAATTGCTTTATAGCTGCCCTAAGAGCAGCCAGTGTAAGCAGACAAGTAGGGCAGCATATGTGGATTTGCCCTCAGGCCACTACAAAGGTTTTTCTCAGCTGTACCCTACTGATCATTGTGTTTACTTTCACATCAATAGCTAGTGTCGTAAAACTGCACTCTAGTGTTTAAAGTGATTTGATTCAGAGCTGCAGATCACAGGAGAATTTCATGGAAGGCCCAAATCTCCCACTGGATTCCGGCAGCTGCTACTAGAGTATCATACTCAAGAGCAGAATCTGACCCTTAGGCACATTAAATCAAGGCCATATTGAAAAATGGTTTGTGTGTGGGTGTGTGGCTGGAGGTTTGGTGGGGGAGTCTTAACTGAATAGGCATTTTGATCCCATTCAATAAAACAAATCTATCATCTTGCAGAATTTAGAGGAAAAATAGTGGCCACTAGCAGCTCTTCCGGATATTTCACTTTGGGAACAAGACTTTGAATGACTGACTTATCAAGCCTTACAACACAGAATAGGAAAATAATTTTAACAATCACAATTTTAGGATGTTCTTTATCAAGAGTCATGGGCATTGTCCTCAGAGGGAACTGAAGAAAAATAAACTTTTTTTTTTTTTTTTTTTTTTCCAGAGAATCCTAGTGTTGGTGCAGAAGGTGCTACTGTGGAGGACAGTTACTCCAGTCCTGATTGCTTGATCAATGTAGTCAAGTTTCATAAATTAATGATTGTGTACCCTTTAAAAATACTTATCATCTTCCCTGCACTGTAGAGAAAATACTTGCTTTTATCTTTCTGGTAATAAACCAGTTTCCAGTCCGTAAATGAGAAAAGTAGAGACATGCAGGAGGAATAAATTTTTAGAGTCCCCAGTACATGGGGGTGACACCTGCTTACTTTTTCTTATCCTTGTCTTTCTTGGTTTGCTGGGCCCCAGATTGCTGGGCCTGGGACTGTAGTAACTGAGCTGCTGCCTTCTTCTTCTGGAAATTGTTCACCTCCTCCTCAAGCTCCTTCTTCTTGTCTTCCACTTTCTTCTTCTCTTCTTGGTGTGTCCGCTTTAGGAGGTCAAACTTCTCGTGAAGCTGAAGAGAAAAAGAGGAGGACAAGCTTGGTGAAGGGAATGAAAATTTTACTGACGTAATGTTATTTGGATCTATTTAAAAAAATATATGCACCACAATGCTGTACTGGCCTTGACTACAGGAGTGAAGTGCTGTTTGGGTGACTTACTAGAGGAGCTAGGCTAAGATGGTGAAGACCATCCCTTGGAGCCCTGGACGCCTTTGAGATTTGGGCTCTTTGGGTCTGAGAGAATCCTTGCATACGTTTTCTGATAATAAAGTATATATTCATTGTTAAAAGGATAAATAAGAAAATAAAAATTATCCTTAATCCTACCAAGAAATTCACCTTACTGGTAAGAGTAGCTCATTACTTTGAGTCCTGTTTTGAAATGAATATACATTTATTTAGAAACATATACAATGACTACACACATATATACATATTGTTGTTGTTAGCTGCTACTGAGTCGGCTCCAACTCACGACAAACCCATGTACAACAAAACTAAATGTTGCCCAGTCCTGTACCATCTTCATGATCATTGCTATGCTCGAGTCCATTGTTGCAGCCACTATGTATTCTGACTGCCTTCCAATCTAGGAGGATCATCTTCCAGCACGATATTGAACAATTTTCTGTTGTGATCCACAGGTTTTTTTTTTAAATAATATTTTATCGTGTTCTCAGTGAAGGCTCACACAGCAGTTTAGGATTCCCTTCAACAATTTCTACACAAATTGATCAGTGACATTGGTTACATTCTTCACAATGTGTGAACACTCTCAATATTTCCATTCTGGTTGTTCTGTTTCCATCAGTCTAGTTCCCCTGCCTCCTCATATTCTCATCTTTGTTTTAAAGTAATCGTTGACTGTTTGGTCTCATATAGGCGATTTTTTAAAGAAGCACAGTACTTATGGGTAACATTCATTATTTTGTGAGCCAAACTGTTATTTAGCTACAAGGTGACCTTGAGGGTTAGTTTCTGTTCAACGTTTGAAGAGTATCTCAGGGCATGTCACAGATTGAGATGTGTCCCCCAAAACTATGTGTCAACTTGGCTAGGCCATGATTCCCAGTATTGTGTGGCTGTTCTCCATTCTGTGATTGATATAATTTTCCAATATGTTGTAAATCCTATCTCTGCCTGTGGTTAATGAGGCAAGATTGGATTATGTTGAAGAGGATTAGGGTGGGATGTAACATCCTTGCTCAGGTCACAACCCTGATCCAATGTAAAGGGAGTTTTCCTGGGGGGTAGCCTGCACCACCTTTTATCTTACAAGACATAAAAGGAAAGGAAAACAAGTGGAGCCAGGGGACCTCCTACCACCAAGGAAGAAGCACCAGAAGCAGAGTGAGTCCTTTGGACCCAGGGTTCCTGTGTGGAGAAGCTCCTAATCCAGGGGAAGAGTGACGAGAAGGACCTTCCTCCAGAGCCAGCAGAGACAGAAAGTCTTCCCCTGGAGCTGACACCCTGAATTTGGACTTCTACCTTACTAGACTGTGAGAAAATAAATTTTTCTTTGTTAAAGCCATCCACTTGTGGTATTTCTGTTATAGCAGTACTAGATGACTAAGACAGGGCAATAGTACTGGAGAGTCCTCCAGTCTTAACCAGTCCAGTAAGTCTGTTTTTGTTTTGTTTTGAGTTCAAGGTTCTGTTCCACATTCTTCTCCCATTCTGTCAGGGTTCATCTATTGTGGATCTGATTAGAATGGTCGGCAGTGGTAGCTAGGTACCATCTAGTTCTTCTGGTATCAGGGTTGATGAGGCTGTGGTTTGTGTAGACTATCCTGTAGACAAGTAGTAGATGAGTTTCTTCTTTGAGTCTTCAGTTTCCTTCTTTCTCTTTTGCTCCGGATGAGTTGAGATCAATAGCTGTATCTTAGATGGCTGCTCACAAGCTTTTAAAACCCAGACACTACTCACTCATCAAACTAGAAGGTAGAACATAACTCTATAAACTATGTCAATTGACCAAGATGTTTCATGAGACTACGGTCCTAATCCTTCAAACCTAGAAAACCATTCCTGTGAGGTATTTAGTTATATCTAAGAGGTATCCGTAACTGTGTCCCTATGTGCTTTATTATATATATAAATATATGTGTATACAGTCACATAGCTGTATATACATATGCACACACCTATATTTATATACACATATATACTCACGTATACATACCTATACACACATATGCCTACATACACATATATATACTTATACATATATATTTTGTTGTTGTTCCAAAATTATATCTGTCATAGTAATTACCAACAGGTTCTTTTTTCTTGTGTACATTTTGGTGACATCGTTCAACTTCGGTGATCCATAGGGTTTTCATTGGCTAATTTTCAGAAGTAAATCACTAGGCCTTTCTTTCTAGTCTGTTAGCTCTGCTGAAAACTGTCCACTATGGGTGAGCCTGCTGGTATTTGAAACACTGGTGGTATAGCTTCCAGCATCATAGCAACACACAAGGCACCAGAGTATGACAAACTGACAGATGGGTGGTGAATAATAAGATATTTAATAATAAGATGTCTTAAGAAAACTTCCGGTCCTAGACAAACTGAATTTTGAAAAATCACGATACAGAAATACAAAAGCATGTAAGGCAAAGAGGGAGGAAGCAAGCGAAGGAGGGAGCAGGGAAGGAAACTCTTAAGAGAGAATTATAATATTTAGCCAGCTTCCGCTTGCTTCTTAAAACCAACAGCAAAAAAAAGGGTTAACTTTCCTTTCTCTGCAGCAAAACCACCTTGAGTGCTTAGCTATTTAAGTATTCTCTTTCAGTAGTCTTTATATAGATACATTAAAATGGAATGATGAGGAAATTTAGGCAATTTCATTCAGCAATGTTATTGAGCTATGGGTCAAGCACTTGGGATACTCATTATCTACCAGGAGATGCCGACATATCTCACACACACACAATACAATTAGATGAGTGTTATCTATCAGATAGTACTTACGGACCCCTCCACTGTTTAGCTCACTTAGTTGGCTGATACACTGAAAATAGTCCCAGAATCCCAAACCTCACATTTTGAGGCTTATAAATTGAGAAAATATAGCGTTACAAAGATTATTTATTCCTTCCAACCTGAACCTCTGATTAGATCTGCAGACCTAAGATTTAGTTTTAGTCATGGGTTTGCATACTAGGTACATTACCACATAAATAACATTTACGATTCTCATTTTTTTATCATCTGTAAAATAAGGATAAAAATGTCTGACCCACTTTTCTTGCTGGGTTGGTATGCCACTCGTGATACAATGTATATAGATGTTGACATGCTGAAAGCATGCAGTACTGTAAAATGTGAAGTATTAATAAAACACTTTCCTTATGTTCTTTCCCTTGAAGAAGGAAAGAAAGCTTACCTCTTTCTCTGCCTCTTTAAGTTCAGCTTCTTTCTCCTTCACTCTCATAACAAACATTTGTCTCATTTCTTCTTCTTTCTTCTGAAGTTCTCCAAGGAATTCATTCCTTTTTGCTTCGTATGTCTCCTGAAGACTATTCAAAATCCCAAAAAGTAAGGACCATGTCATGAAATTGCATAACAAGAAATATTTCCATCACATCTAATTCCCAAAAAGAGATGCAGCTACTGCTTACCATATGAAATCACAAAAACAAACAAACAAAAAAAATTGCAAAATTTTCTTTTTGGTTATGCAGCGATGGCAAAGACAAGTGTATCAAAACCAGAGTTGAGTCAATAACCAAATGCATGTTTCTTACTAGCAGAGTTTTAGCTTATGTGTCTTCATATAGAGAAATCTGGGCTGGGCAAGCTGGTATCCTCCAGATCAGTATACAAGGTAGATGGTGAAGGCAGATCTAGAATCTAGAAGATGGAGGTGGCATGGTGTAGGGGTAAAATGACCAGGCCTGGTCAGATAGATCAGGGTTTGAATTCTGGCCACACTAACTTATTGACTGATCTTGGGAAAGCCACAACCCCTCTAAGCCTCAGTTTGCTCATGTATAATACATAGATACAATAACATGGATCTTCTACGGATATTGCTATCAGAATTACTGCAGGAGAACTGAGTAAAGCACTTGACATATAGTCAGTGCTTGATAAATATTACTCCCTCCTTTTATCTCCCTCCAGTCTCCAATTTGGAAAACAGACTCAGTGAACAGACTACAGAGACAAGTTATATTACCAATTGTAGATAGAGCTGTTACGGATTGAAATGTGTCCCAAAAATGTGTGTCAACTTGGCTAGGCCATGATTCCCAGTATTGTGTGATTGTTGACCATTTTGTCCTATGATGTGATTATCCTATGTGTTGTAAATCCTACCTCTATGACGTTAATGAGGCAGGATTAGAGGCAGTTATGTTAATGAGGCAGAACTCAATCTACAAGATTAGGTTGTATCTTGAGTCAGTCTCTTGAGATATAAAAGAGAGAAGTGAGCAAAGAGACAGGGGGACCTCCTACCACCAAGAAACAAGAGCCGGGAGAGAGCGCATCCTTTGGACCTGAGGTCCCTGCACTGAGAAGCTCCTAGACCAGGGGAAGATTGATTACAAGGACCTTCCCCCAGAGCCGACAGAAAGAGAAAGCCTTCTTCTGGAGCTGGTGCTCTGAATTCGGACTTCTAGCCTCCTAGACTGTGAGAGAACAAATCTGATTGTTGAAGCCATCCATTTGTGGTATTTCTGTTATAATAACACTAGATAACTAAGACAAGGGTAGAGAGGAATTTTATTTTTATTTTAAATCCCATCTTCCTCCTGACTATGTACAGAACTGAGAGCCAAATATTTTAAACTGAATGCCGTAACTCAGATTTATCTCTAAGTCATAACAAATATTTTTACAGAGAAATCACCTTTGGTAACACAACTTAAGAAAACACACATAAACATCTGCCAACATTTTATAAGGTGCTATTTCTATTTCTCTCTTGTAATTTCCCTAGAACAATAGTTGTTAAAGTAACACACACATCAGCAGGATTATCCACTGATTCCCATGAACCAAATTCATCCAAAGTGCAGACTACAGACTGGATAACAACTGTGGACAACCCCAGCACCATGCAGAGTGACTCTATAGCATCCACATCTGTCCATGCAGAGGGAGATAAAAGGAATTCAGACCACTTGAATGTAGATATACACATCTATAAAGAACTAAACAACTAGAAAATGTATTAATTAGGATTGCCTACACTTCTCTAATCAATACTCTTATTAGTTTCTTCAAAGTAAGCTCGCCTGCCCTCAAGAGTGTTAATACTATCTGTTTATAAACAACCATGAGTTTCCAGAGGTGTATTTAGCTTTCACATTATCTCATGAGACAAAAACAAGTTTGGCCAATATTCACGTTGGCTAATATTAGTAGTGATATTTGGACTGGAAGTTTAAGATGTATGTTGTTGTTAGGTGCCGTCAAGTCTGACTCACAGCGACCCTATAGATGTACAGCCACAGAGATAGAGAAATGTGTTGATAACAGAGCTATAATTTATGAACTTGATTTTGCTTGGTAGCTTAAAATAAACTCTTTGTTACCATTATTTGCGTCAGAATTGCCAAAGGTAGAGGATGACTTGCCCCTGCTATGAAATTTTGGGAGAAACTCAGCTTTTATTGACTTCAGGATTAGGAATATACCTTCTTTTATTTCTAACAAGCAGTGGAATGTCCTGTACAGAAACACTATCTAGAAACATTCCCCAAAATGTGTTCCAGGAATCATTAGTTTCAAGAGATGATCTTCAAAAGACGGGTTCCAAAGTCAAGAGAGTAAAGGGAGGTTCACAATGCACAGTAGATCCCAAACCTAGTGTCACACTGGGATCACCTGGGCAACTATCACTGTATTTTTCTAAATACAGCTTCCTAACCCTGTTCCTGGAAATGCTGATTCAGGGTGTTAGGCTAAGGCAAAGTAATCTGTATTTTTTCAAGGCTACCAAAGTGCCCTGGTGGCACAGTGGCTATGAGCTATGGCTGCTAACCAAAAGGTCGGCAATTCGAATCCGCTAGTCACTCCTCGGAAACCTTATGGGGCAGTTCTCTGTCCTACAGGGTTGCTTTGAGTTGGAATCGACTCGACGGCAATGGTTTTTTTAAGGTAATTTGGTGTGACTAGTTTGCTAACCACTACTTGTCTTAAATGCTCTGAAAAAGCCTTCAGTAAAAGAATCTGTATAACTTTAATTAACTTAGAGTTCCCCAAACTAATGTGACTGTTGAAACTTTTTTTAAGTAACCCACACATGGGACGTATGTTGGGTAATGCTACCCAAAAGACAGAGAACTCTCAAGACGACACTGCCTTATAGTCCCAACCACAGCCTACCTTATGCTCCATTTTCTGGAGATATATTTTCAAACTGTGGGTCACAACCCAATCATGGGTCTTAACCAGAATATTAAAAGAGAAGGAAAAAGTTGAAGAGACTAGGATAGAAAATAGCAGAGTACAGTGCAAACAATTAAAGTAGGTATTATTCCGTGAAATGGATATACTAGATCATGATGTAAAACGTATTTTATACTGAAGGTTGCCCTCTAAAGTTGGAAAACCCTTGTCCTAGAGACATTCTAAGAAGCAACTCTGCCATTGCCCTTCGTCATGAGTCTGGTCACAGTTTTGACATCCTGGGCCAGAGCAGGAAAATGGGCTAAATAAATGCTACTTCTTATTTGATCACTGTATCCTAGGATATGAATCAATTTATTAACTCTAACATTGGAAATGACCACGAGCAACAGAAGAAAAAGAAATCTTAAAGCTTTACCTCAAAGGAGTCATAACTATAATAAATTACTTACAAGTAACTTAGGACAATGGCAGCACCACAGAGTCATGTTCCCTAAGCACCTCTGCCAATTAAGTTGTAAATTAGAGACACCAGACCCCCTCACTAATGTTTCCAGTCATTGAGAACCAGTTCAGAAGGAACTGGTTCTATATTATCCACTCACAGATATCTAATGAGTATAATTTCTTTGGAGCCCTGGCGGCGAAGTGGTTGAGTTCAGGCTGTTAACCAAAATACAGGCAGTTCAAATCCACCAGCCGTTCCTTGGAAACCCTATGGGACAGTTCTACTCTGTCGTATAGGGCTGCTATGAGTCGGAATAGACTCGACGGCACAGAGCAACAACAACATAATTTCTTTTGCAATCTTTAACTATATAAGCTGAATTTTTTAATTGTGATTATTAACACCCTTTTCTAAGTGAGAAATCTGCCATTTTTTTCACAAGGCTTTCAAGTGGCTGGAAACTAAGATTTTTATCTTCTCAGTTACTCTCAACAGCCCTTGGAAGAGGCAGGCTTTACTCATGGAAGTCAAGGGAAGGGTGAATGAATGTTACAGACACTTCAGTTCACCATTCATTCTGGTAATTCACGCAGCCCAATTCTCTCTCAGAATCTCCTGGAACACCCAGTGAAGGGCATGCCAGAGTATGACTATCACCACCAGTAGTTAAGGAGGGATTTAAGCATGTTAATTTATTTACTCCTTAGAACAACAGAATAAGGCCGGTATTATCATTACCTCCATTTTATCAATGGAGACACTTGAAAACACAGATGCTTAGTAAGTTGTCCAGGTCACACAATGAAGGGAGAGAGCTAGGATTTGGACCAAGTTGCCTGGCTCAGAGTGGGAGCTCTACCCACTTCCCTGCACCAACTGTGAGGCTCAGCATTGCACGGCCGGTGAACCCTGGCCTGTTATTGTTAGGTGCCGTCGAATCAATTCCGACTCATAGAGACCCCATGTGACAGACTAGAACTGCACCACAGGGTTTTCTTGGCTGTAGTCTTTACGGAATCAGACAGCCACATCTTGCTCCCACAGAGCCACTGGGTGGGTAACGTTGGCCTAGACACGTCTAAAAACAAATGGCTCTTATGGGCCCAAAAACTTTTTAATCTCCTGAGACAATAGTGACAACTGAGTTTTTTTTTTTTTTTTTTTTTGGTGACCTGACCAGTGGTTAATCAAGAAAGTGTATTTTGAGAATACGAAGGAGAGGTTCAGACAGGGACTATTCCAAAAAGGGCAATGGTGTCTTACAAGAAAAGAAGCTGGGAGTGGCTCAAGGGAGGCACATGATCAGTCCCCACTCATGACCTGTCCCCTCTCTTCTTCTACCCCAAAACATCAGCCAGAGAGGGGCTGGGATCTGGATAAGGAAGGAACCTGGGGACCAGGGAGGCATGAGTGCTCTGGCTGTGTTGAAACATGGGCGTCAATGCTGCAGAGCAGCAGGTGGGTATGAGCAGGACATGAGTGGGAAAGACAACTCTGAATTTTGGCAGGCTTAAGGTCAATGCCAGGGACAGGCTCCGTTAGCTTTATGGTGTACCTCTAAGGGTTAATTATGTTGTTGCTGTTGTTGTTAGCTGCCATCAAGTTGGCTCTGACTCTTGGCGGCTTTATGTATAACAGAATGAAATTTTGCCCGGTTCTGTGCTATCTTCATGATCTTTGATATGTTTGAGCCCACTGTTGTAGCTATTG